GGCACCTGTAGTCCCAGCTGCTTGGGAGGCTGAGGCAAGAGAATTGCTTAAGCTCAAGTTTGAGGTTGCTGTGAGCTGTGACGCCATAGCACTCCACCAAGAACAACATAGTATGACTCTCTCAAAAAAAAAAGAAAAAACTGGTCTATACACAGAAGTGGTCAATATAAGGAACTAGGCCTACTGTACTGATAGGCACCTTAGGTGCATGTCTGGTCTGCGAAAATTAGGTCAACGTAAGGAGGTTGTCAATGTAGGGCAGTGGTCAATATGGAGGTTCTACTGTATCTGCCTTCTAGTCCTTTGCATAAGTTTGCCAGCCCCTGAGATACGCTAGTACATAATGTGACCCTTAAAACATCTCTAGGAGACACAGACAAGGGGCGAATTCCCGGATCTTCTGCCTTGTAGACCACACTAAGGCAAACGCCTTGAATGTCAGCATATACTATTACATGCAGAGGCAGCAATGCACGGCACGCATTCACTCAGAGACCAGCTTCCTAATGGAGGGAGGTGCTTTACTGTGAAGTGTTTTATAATAACACTCTCATGCTAACTTCATGCCTCATCTGCTCTACACAGACAGCCCAATGTCCTATCATAGCAATGAATAATTGATCTGATCACTTTATTCGAAGGTCAATGAGATTATCTTGGGTTTTGAGCAGGAAACCATCAGTGGCTCTATGCTGCCCCCTGGTGTGTGCCTATTCTGCTACCTCTGAACAATCCCAACCCCAGCCCTCCTGGCTGCTCCACCCTCGGCTCCCTGCACCCTTCCCACTTTCTGCTCCTCACCTCCATGGAAGTTGATCCTCTGAAAGACAAGATGGTACAAGGGTGCCTTGGTGGTGTGTAGCACAACAAAGGGGCCCTTTTGAAAGGGGTGTGCTCACTGTCTCAGCTGCACTATCACTGGCCACTGGGGGAGGGGGTTGGCTTTCCTTTTTTTTTTTAATTTTACTTTATTTTGGGGGACGGAGTCTCACTCTGTCGCCCTAGCTAGAGTGTTCCTGGGCTCAAGCAATCCTCCTGCCTCAGCTTCTCCAGTAGACACCCACCACAAAGCCCAGCTAATTTTTCTAGGGCCTGGCTTTTCTAGACAGCAGCAGAAGGGCTGCAGGGATATCAGGTCAAGTATTTTGTATGTTGGCCCAAGACAAAAAGGTAATAACAGATCCCTCCTGATTATGAAACAGATAGCCTTGGGTCTGGCTAACAAACCCACCCTTAAACCAGGAGGCTGATCAAAGTTGGTTATCCCCCTACGGTCTTTAGAAAAGACTAGTTTTTCTTCTCCCATAAAACCGCATTCTGGCTGGGTGCAGTGGCTTGCGACTATAATCCCAGCCCTTTGAGAGGTCAAGGTGGGAGGATCACCCGAGATCAGAAGTTTGAAACCAGCCTGACAATATAGTAAGATCTTGCCTCTACAAAAATAATAATAAATTAGCCAGTTGTGGTGGCACACACTTATCGTCCTAGCTACTTAGAAGATGAGAGGATCACTGAGATCAGGAGTTCAAGGCTGTAGTGAGGTATGGTCACTCCACTGCACTCTGGCCTGGGTAATACAGTGAGACCCTGTCTCAAAAATAAACAAAAAGAAAGAAAGAAACTCTGCATTCTATTTCCTGGGGCCAAGCCATCACCAAACCCTACCGTACATGAAAGCCCGTGGAAGCTGTTGTCATAAAAACATGGACGGGCTGTGACAAACCAAGAGGTATGGCCAACAGATCAAGAGCCACTGAAGACAGGACATTTACCTTCTTTCTTCACCTTCCCACCCACCATGGTGAGGACAGAACAGTTGGGGGACAGAGAGCTGGGGCAGGGGAAAAGAAACAAGCAAGAATTCTGGAAGCACCAGTTACATAAGTCTTTGATCTCAAGGAGGCTGTTTTCTTACTGGTAAAACGGGAGTTACAATGGCTACCTCCGAGAACTGTTGTAAGGCCTGGCTAAAATAACAGGTGTAAAGTATTTAGCAGAATACATCTCTTCAAAGAGCAGCCTGTGCTGTATTTTTCTTTCTGGGGGGAAGGTAAAAAGAAAGGTATTATATCCACTTTACTGCATCCAAACACTGAGCCTTCAAGGCTTGGCACTGTATAGAACAGAGCAAGAAAACCAAGGCATCACCAGGGAGATGAGATGTGCAAGCTGCAACCATAACTCCCTCTGTTTCTGTAAAGGGGGTGGGTAAAGTCACTCACAGCTGTGGTAAAAGAGGACACAGGAAGCAAACAAGCCACAGCCCGGTGTGGGGTCTGTGGAAAGGGGACAGCCAGCCAGACAGCTCTGGAGAGGAGCAGTGGCTTGCTAGGAGCTCTGTGCAGAGAAAGCAGCTCAGCAGTCTTCCCTCCTCCTCTGTGTTCCAAGGTGACTTGCTCATTTATGGAGGGTCACAAGCCCTGCATGCTAATGAGATAAGCTTAGAATAATATAGATATAAGAATAAAAACAAGGTAAGCCCCAGGATACCATTTGCCCTGCAGCAATTTCAACCTGCTGTTCTTACCGCTACCACTTTCCCTGCCTACTAAAGCAAGGCTGTTGCCGCAGCAACCAAATCTCCAGCACGGGCCAAGGCCCCAGGAGGTCAGTTACTCTAAGCAGGGAAGGGTCTGGAATGGTTTAAGAGCCAGTCAGGATTTCAGATGGCCCAGACCTTCTAGAAAGGAGCTTCAGCTCAGAACAATGCTAGGACTACAGAGGGAAATTCGGGGTTTCTGGGGAACTCCCAACCTAGCCTGTGACACACTACAGAGAACAACAGTATAGAACTAGAGCTGCCCAGGCTAAGAAAAGAGGCCACTAGCAGGGGTGGCACACAATGACCCCACTTGAGGTCTTTTCCTTCATTGTCTCACTGCATCTGAACCAGACAGCCTGTCACCACCCCTAGACTGTTGAGGGATCAGAGGCTCAGAGGGGCAAGGGCTTAAAGACAAGATCACACTGCTAGAGACCGATGGGCAGAACTCCAACTCAGGTCCTCCCTCCCTCCAAGGCCTGCACTCTGAGAAACTAGAAGCAGCAGCAGAAGCAGCCCGACACTTGCCAGGCTCCTGCATACCAGCCACTGTGCCGTGCACCTAACTCACTCTCATCTCCCCCACAAAAACCCAAGGAGGCGGGTACCACCATCACCCCTGCTGTATAATAAAAGAAATTTTGCCCAGGGCCACACAGCTAACGACAGAGCCCTCATCCCTGCCTCTGTGCACTGGTGCAGAGCTGTGAAGGAGGCACAGGAGGTCAGGAGAGGCTGCAGAAGGGCAGAGAGGCTCTAAGGACACTCACCACCTCCTCTATGGCTTCACCATCTCCCAGCAGCAGCTCCTCAGCCAGCAGGGACAGCACCAGCCCTTTAACACTGTGAGTGTAGAGGTTCATCTGCACGAGTCCCACATGGGATCCTGCTGAGGTCCTCCTGGAGTCCAATCTTTCTGCGGAGGGGCCAGTACCCCGACAACTTGCCAAGCCTGCACTGCACTCCAGACCAGGGGCTGCATGGCCCCCACAAGCCCCATCCACACACTGATCTATGCTTTGTTCCCCTGCAGGAACCTTACTTCCTCTCTGCCCTGGATCTAAGTGAGGCAGTGATAAAGATCTGCTGGTCCTTCTGCAGAAAAGGTCTTCTCGGGGACCAGGGCCTTGGCTGCTGTTTTCAGGAAGATCTTTGCACAGTTCTGGGGTTCCATTCTGGGTTAGCATCTCAGGAACAGAGGGAGAAAGCAGGGTGCTTGCTGCTGTATCCTCAGGCGGCACAGGTTCTGAGCTGTTTGAGCCACTGATGGATTCTTCGTGGCAAGAACAGCTGCCTTCTGGGACACACACAACTGGGAAAGCAAAACCATCTGAGGATGGGCCCACTTCCTGAGCTTCTGGAATGTGGATTTCAGACAGGTCCAGCTCCTGATGAGGAAAGCCCAGTTCCTTCACCGGGGAGCAGCTAGGGCCAGGCCCCTGGCCCCTGGCAGAGCTGTGCAATCCATTGGGCCCAATGCTCTCCAGATCATGTACAAACAAGTGTCCATTCTCCCTCTTGCCACTTGGCCAAGCTTCATTAGGGGACATGGGCTGTGGAGTGGTGGCCAACATCCAGGCTACAGATTCCACATGCCCAGTAGCATTTTCTTCCAGGGCAAACGTGCTTCCAGCCTTTGGAGGGTGCTGGGCTAAGCTGTCCTGGACTCTGGCTGGAGATGCAGTAGCGCTAGTGAACAAGACAGACATGAGAATGGGGCACAGCAATGGAGTTGGGGCCTGGGCCCTTCCACACATCCATGTCAAGAGGTTCCCTGAGACCAGAGAGGCGAAGATGCCACCTGGATCAAATCACAGAGTAAAAATAAGGCACTTTTTGGCCCTTGGAGCTTCACATAGCGAGTGACATGAAGATTACCTACTGGAAATGGCAGAGCCCACTATGTGAGAGTTGCTCACATTTGAAAGGTCTACCATGAGGCAGGCCCTATACCAAATGCTATACCATAGGTACATAGACTATTCTCAATTGTCACAATGAATTCATGAAAAAGGTATTACTGAGTTCATTTTACAGATAAAAAAAATTGAGGCTCAGGCAGGGACTGCAATTTCCTGAGGTCACATAGCTGTTAACTAAGAGATCTAGGATGTGAAACCCATCCTTGTCTCACACCACACTGTCTCTTATCAATGTGCTCAAGTTCCAAACGTTCCCTTACAAGACAGAGTATGGAGAGATGCAATTAAGGAATGATGGTCTGTTCCCATGAACCATGTGAGGGAATCTCTCTGGTGTGCTCAAGGTTGGCCCCTGTGAATTAGTTCCCTTACCTAGTCCTCTGTTCCACTGGAAACTCACGGAGACTGATGGATTCCTCTTTTGTCACAAAAACAGGGATAATATGGACATTCGGGGGCAATGCTGCTCCTGGAATTGCAAAGCAACATGGAGAGGGCTCCCTCCTGAGCCAGGGCAGACAGAGGGGCACTAGCTGTTCTTGGGGTGATGCATCCAGCCCCCACCCCAGCTCAGGAAGTACCACTGTGAATGCATTCCTCGGCCAGTACACAAGCCACAGAACTGCAGCCCTAACTCCTGTGACCAGCAAGGACGCAGCCCCTGCAGGCAACATGAATCCCAACTGTGAGGAAGGGCGATGTTTGGTGGAAGAAAGTTTAGTGGCACTTTAAAAACAAAAAGATGTAAGATAGAAAAAAGCACTCAACTGACAAACAGACCTAACTCAACTTAGGCTTCAGAATAAAACAAAATGACTCTCCTGAGGACCTCTCCACATCCCGCAAGAGGTCTTCCTGGCAGTTGCTGCCTCCCTCAATCATGATCCCCTGGCATCTATCTGAACAATCTTTTAACGCTGAGTAAGGAGGACCTCAAAGCTGGGATTTGAAAAGCACGTCTAAAACCACAGGCTTTACAATCAGGGTGCTGCTAGGTAACTCCGTTCTTAAAGCTCTATCATAGCCATTTCCTAGTCTTATGGGTAGAGAAAAAAAGCTAATAGAACTGGTCGGCCTTTCACATGACTTGTACAGGGACAGGTAGCATAAAAACCACCATTCTCAAGATGCAAAAGTGCCGACGCGACTTACCACGCTCCTGCGGGGCATCCCCTCCTGTAGGCAGTCTCTGAAAACAAACACAGAGAAGTTGGCACCGGGCACCACATTCTCCTCTTGACCTAACTGTTAGGAATACACTGTGCCATCTGTTCATAAACCTTAGCCAGGTCCAGAAAGCTTGTCCCAACCACATGCTAAGAGTCAAGCAGATGGAAAAGAAGCTCCCCCAGGCTGCTCCCTCCCCCAATGGCTGGGAGGAGGCAAGGGCCAGGCCCACACAGGCTGTAAGGCAGCAGCTCCACCCAAACTCATGTCAAGCTTTATGTTCTGATTGTCTCAGCCCCTCCCCTCTGGAAATAAAAGCAAAGATCCATTTTTTAAACCTTTGGGAAGCTCATATTCTAGAACAGAGTCACATTTGCCATAGGCCCTGGATAAAGAATGAATTCCATTCACACAAAAACTGAAAACCCTAAAACCCTTACTATAAAGGATAGATTTCAACAAATGCTACACCAGGTATCTCTTATTTATTCTAAAATAAATAAATAAAATCTTTCATCTCAACCCAAAGGTTACAAAAGGATCCACCAAAACAAAGCAAAAACCAGACATAAACTCTTCTAGCCAAAATGAATTTCTCTCTTAACAAATGATATGGGTTGCTTTCTTTTTTGGTAATTTTTTAAAATCATGTTTCATGTTACTAAGCCATACATAGGCTTGAGATAAAAATTCTTTAAAAATATATATATAATCCTGGGCAGCGCCTGTGGCTCAAAGGAGTAGGGCGCCAGCTCCATATGCCGGAGGTGGCAGGTTCAAACCCAGCCCCGGTCAAAACTGAAAAAAATATATATATTTATATGTATATATATATTCCCTCATTCCTAGGCTAAAACTGTCAGTACTGGGCATCTTTCTCTTTAAGTCTATGCATTCTTTTATATTCCTAAGACTATATCATGTCAAATTCTATTTTATGCTTAAAATAAAAACAGATAATTCCTGTAAGAAAACACCGTTGGCCATTTTAAATGGCTGACTTAAATTTTATAATTTTATGAAGGTGAAAGTGGTCTGAGTAAATTACTCATTCCCTACCTTAGACCAGGGGCCAGTAGATGTCTGTAAAGGGTGAGATAACATATTTTATGCCTTCATATGATTTCTAGTCCCAACTACTCAATTCTGCTACTGCAGCACAAAGCAGCCCAACTCATAGGCACATGGCCCACAGGCCAGTCTGGCAACCCCTACCTTAGAAGTTATAGTTTTATGTCATTTGTCACTTTCATAAAGCCTGTTGTGATACAAGTTTTAAGTATAAATTTTTGTCAGCAATTAGATTACTTTCTTAGTATAGAGTCCAATAAGCTAACTTATTCGGAAAAAATAAAGAGTATCCTTAATGCTCTCCTTATTAAACTGTTTACCAGAAAAGCAGTCCAGACTGACGTAGTCAGTCCAGTCCTGACCGACAGTGGGTGGGGAGCCTGAATAGAACCACCACCATTGTGAGTGTCTGCTGATTTCATAAGTGTAAAAAGAGAGCCTTAGAATGAATGCTCTCAGCCCACTGGGAACCATAGCATCATATACAAAAAATACACAAAAGAAAAAAAAAGGACTGCAAGGGAACAGTCAGATGCTAGAGTGATTATCTCTGCCTCGTCCAACTCCAGATGTGGGCAATTTTATTCTCGATGAGCATGTATGCCTTTTTTCTTCATTATAAAAGCAATTAAATAGGTTGGTGCCTGTGGCTCAAGCAGCTAAGGCGCCAGCCACATACACTACAGTTGGCGAGTTCACATCCAGCCTGGGCCCGCCAAACAACAATGACAACTACAACCAAAAAATAGCCGGCCCTTGTGGTGGGCTCCCATAGTCCCAGCTACTTGGGAGGCGGAGGCAAGAGAGTTGCTTAAGCCCAGGAGTTGGAGGTTGCTGTGAGCTGTGATGCCACAGCACTCTACCCAGGGGGACAGCATGAGGCTCTGTCTCAAATAAATAAATAAATAAATAAATAAAATCTTGAAAAAAAACTAAATAAACACAAAATTAAAGTTTTTAGAAGTTTTTATTTTCCTAAGTCTTACTAAAACAAAAACACATGCTTTATTTACAATCTGTCTCTGAAAAATCTAGTACCTCTTTGACATGAAGCCTACCCTTTCAAGAAGCTAAATCCTCAGAGAACTATTCGGATTGAAGAAAAACCAACTCTCCACACCCAGCATGCAGAGGCAAACATTTTCTTTCAGCCTCACCAATGGGCTTCAATCCCAAGGAAAACCACACTGAAGGACTTGGGGTCTTGAAACAAGACTAAGTGACACAAGTGACCCCTGGCCACCACTCCTCATCATTCCTGCCTGAGGATCGGTCTTGGCTACAGTGACTGGGGCTCTGGGTAAAGCGTTCCAGCCAGGAGCGTGGGCTTCACAATACCTGGACCTGAGGTGCAGTTCGATGAAGCAGGACCTTGGCAGTGAGGGAGGGCGGCAGCTGGGTGCTGACAATCCTAGGAGGTCACACACAGGAACAAAAACTCCATGAGAAGAAATACACTGAAGGGTGCCCAACAGCCCATGTGGACGAGAACCTGCAGAACGAGGCTGGTGGGAGTTTCAACTGGGAAAACCCTGTGGGGGAATCTCTGGAAGTTCCTATCAGCGTTTAAAATGTCCAGACCCTTTAATTCAGCTTATAACAAGAGGTATGCAAAATAATCTTCATTATAGGGAAAATGGCAAAAATGTTAGAAAAAAATGAGTAAACAACTGAAATGGCCATCAACAAGAAAGGAGATAAATAAATCACAGCACGGCCAAAACACCAAAAAGTATGGGGCCTTCCTAAGAATGAGTGGACCGACATGGACTGGTGAAGAAATCTCTACACACTAAGTCAAAGAACTTCAGGACAGGGGTGGCGCCTGTGGCTCAGTGAGTAGGGCACCAGCCCCATATACTGAGGGCGGCAGGTTCAAACCCGGCCCCAGCCAAACTGCAACAAAAAATAGCCGGGCATTGTGGTGGGTGCCTGTAGTCCCAGCTACTTGGGAGGCTGAGGCATGAGAATTGCCTAAACCCAGGAGTCTGAGGTTGCTGTGAGCTGTGACACCATGGCACTCTACTGAGGGTGATAAAGTGAGACTGTATCTCTCTAAAAACAAAAAGAACTACATGACAGACAGTAAAAATAAAATCAGTATATGCATCTACATCAAGTGGGTAAAACACAGACAGCACAATGGAAGGAAGGTGGCTCACCAAACCGCCGATGCTAAGGCCAGGCTGAGAGGGGGGAGAGCAGAGACTGAACTCGTGCTCTGTGTGTTTCTCTATTAGTTGGCTTCCTTTACATTGACAATGTGTTCGTGTATTGGCTGTATAATTTACATATATAAATAAATATACAGTAAGAAAAGGGAACAAAAAGCTATCTTTGATGGCTATATCACCAGAGAGCCTGGAAGCCCCACAGCTGATTCAGAACAATCACGATGAGAACAGCAGGGAAGGAAGAGGGTGTCCGTCTGTCTGTCTCTCTCTCTCTCTCTCTCACACACACACACACACACAAAGGACTTTGTTCCTCCTTCAACATCTGTCATCTCACTTCATTTGCCACAAGGGATTGCTATTTCCCAGAAAAATAAATTGAGGCTGAGCAACTTGTCCAAGGGCAGACAGCTAGCAAGAAGAGAAGCCAGGACAGGAAGCTCCTCCAGTGACACAGTCATCTGGTCGACAGGAAGCTCTATGCACAACACTATGTCCCTGTCTGCCTTGGGCTGAGAGCAAACCCTCCATGAGGAGGGAGGCCTTGGAAGATGAGTGGCTCTCAGGCACTCAGGCCCATGAAGAGGCCCTCCAACTGCGTGAAGAAGTGCAGTGGCTCTCAGAGGCCAAACAAGACACGGACCCAGACAAGAGGCTGGCAGGAGCCTGAGTAAAAGCCCCTCACACTGCTTTGCTGAGCTGGGCCCAGTGGCCTGAGCAACAGGAGGAAGGCCACAGCAGGCCCCTTCTGTACCCCTGACTTACAACACTGGCTGCTGACAACGCTGAAGGCTTTACATTAGCATTTTGTAGAATGAACTATTTATGACAGCATGCCCCATACTGAGAGTTAACACAGATCCCTTTCATATTCCTAACTCTTTCCTCAACAAACAATTTCCACCTTCCCGGCTTTGTTCAAAGATGATCTGTATCCTAAAACCAATCTAAACTACCTGATACTTGGCCAACCAGCCCACTTGGAACTTGCCAGAAACTGAGCTCCCCAGCATGACCTGGAGGCAACTGATGGTCAGCTCTGTGCCAGGGGCATGGGGCTGGAGGAGAGGGGTCTGGCCTTACTCACAGTCCTTTGTAGAGGATGCAGCCAGCGAGAACGTGAGGTGAGCGCTGGCAGGTCTGTAGAATGAGGGCTGCCTTCAGCAACAACAGGGGCTCCACCTGTGCAGAACAAGAAGCATACCTCCCATCAGCATGCCTGCAATCAGAAAGGGGGGGGCAGCACAACAGATGGACAAGCTGTAGCTCAAAGCCTAGAAAAGGGAGAATGTGTCACCCAGTAAAATCTGTGTCATGCACTGGGTCTATTCTACCTCCCTATACCCAGAACTGCTGGCACCACAAAATGCTAAATTGTTAAAACAAGGAAACTTCTCCAGAAGCTGGAAGGTGAACTATGGCATAGGGCTATTCACAGGGGACAAAGTAGGTAGTCTAAAAGACCCTGACTATCAATGCTAACCCAAGAGGCAGAAAGAGAGAGGACACCCACTCTATCCTCCACCACCACTCTGAAGCACAATCCCCGGCAACACAGCTGGTTTGACATCTGATCAGGACCCATTACTCTATTTCATAACATCAAATGAAAACACCATGGTCTTGGACTCAGGAAAATACACCTCACTTCCATATTCCTAAGTAGTCAGTTGCCTGGAAGTCTCAAAAACACAGGAAAAGGATCTGAATCTGGTCAAGGGTGGTCAGCAATAAGCAGCAGCCTCTTCCTACTTCTACCCGGCTGCCTGGCAGCTAAAATCTGCAAAGATCCATTAGCTGCTGGAACTCAATGTGACCAAAGCTAAACTCAGGAGCTGCTGACACATGAAAAGTTTATCCTTTCATGGCCTCAAGACTGTGGCCAATCCCAGACCCATTCTCTAAAGTTCCGGGGCCAACTTCAAAAAGTCTTCCAAATAGACGCAGGGAAAGCCCCATTTCTAGTGGAGTCATGATCTCTGAAGGCTGAATCACAGCTTCACACCCATTAAAGGGACACTATTTACTACAGCAATGAGATGTGAGATGCTCAGGGCTCTGACAGCTGGTTCTGAAGGGACAGCCATACAAACAACCATGGTTTCACTGAGTGCCAATGTTGGAACAGCCCAGGAGACAAAAACATTTCCCAACCACTCTCTCTCAGACAATAACCTGGGCCTTAAAACGTTCACACTAGGCATTTTTGATACTAAAAACAATGAAGTCATATGGTATTATGAATTATACCAAGTGAAAAGGAGACCTTAAGATTACTGAGTTCAATACCTCTGAGGCATCAGCAAAATAATAATATACCTCTAAAAACATATCCCTTTTCCTGAGCATGTATTTGGTGTCATCTTAGGTACTGCCTTATTTTATCATCCAAACAGTTCTAGAAGGCAGGTCTTATAACACCATTTTGTGAATAAGGGAAGTGAGGCTCTAAGCCAGAGGTTCTCAACCTTCCTAATACCGCGACCCTTTAATACAACTCTCCATGTTGTGATGACCCCCAACCATAAAATTATTTTCATTGCTACTTCATAACTGTAATTTTGCTACTGTTATGAATCCTAACTTACATATCTGATATGCAGGACGTATTTTCATTGTTACAAAGGGGTCGCGACCCACAGGTTGAGAACTGCTGCTCTAGTGGTGAGCTGCCTTGTCCAAGTGCACCAAGTGCACACAGTTACTGACTGAATTCAGGGCTTAACTATGACCTTGCCTGAAATATGACAGTCTACTCATTTCTCCAGAAATAGTTCATTTGAGGAATAGTAAAAAAGCTCTTTTCTTATGCATGAAATGAATAAGGAGGATGAGAATGTTACTTTAGTTTGGTCCAAGTTCCAAAGGGAATTGAATATCTTATGCAGATCACTGGTGTTTTTCAGAATTTGTTCAATGAAGGTATCCCACTCCGTGCTCAGTTCTTCCCGAGAATAGTTCTAAAACACAAACAGCCTGAGGTCAATGTCTGACATTTTGAGGGACAGATTCTTTGGCAAGAATCCCAACTACCATGAAAACTGTTCCTCATACAAAAGCTGGCCAGAAGGAAGCCAATTTTGACCTTCTACCACGTATGAACGCCCACCTTCCCACTCTGATAACCCACCCTGTCACAGATCCAGGGAACCTGCTGGCCAAGGATAGAGAGTTGGATTAATATTTGTGAATTATGTGAATAGAAGTTAAGGGTCTTTCTTCTTCTTCTTTTTTCTTAGAGACAGTGTCACTTTGTCGCCATCAGTAGAATGCCGTGGCATCATAGCTCACAGAAACCTCCAGCTCTTGGGCTTAGGCGACTCTCTTGCCTCAGCCTCCTGAGTAGCTGGGACTACAGGTGCCCATAACTCCCAGTTATTTTTTTGTTACAGTTTGGCTGGGGCCAGGTTTGAACCTGCCACCCTCGGTATATAGGGCTGGCACCCTACTCACTAAGCCACAGGCACTGCCTGAAGTTAAGGGTCTTTCTAACCATCCCAGGTAAAGAGAGGGGATAAACATTTGGAATGAATGGGACTTATGGAACTGTACACCAAGGCATATGAGACGGGCTTCAAGGGCCCTTGACATTGTTGCTGGACACGATGTGTTTATATAAAGTCTAACAGACCCCAGAGCAAGCGTGTTTTCTGGCAATGAGATACTCAACATTATACTAATACCTTGTAAGCCAGAGAAACAGGTCCATTGTAAAAATTAAAGAATCCAATTAGCTGATCCAGAAACTGCTTGCAGCTGATATCAGGGAGCTCTACAGCACAGCCCAGCACCTATACAAAGGGAAACCAGGAAGACAGGCAGTTACTTATTCTCTGAGTCCACACCCAGAATCCTGGCATCCAGGGCTCTCTATTGCCAGATCTCACTGGCCCATCAAAATTGATCTTCTACAGCCCAAGTCCACATCCTGCACTCCAGCCAAGTTGGTCTCCACAGAGAACAAGTACTTTTTGTACCTCTATCCTTGTCGTCCAACCTGAAATGCCCTCATTTACCCAGGTCTTCCCCATATACTTCAGTGCCCCACAGATTCCAGCACCTCTGTGATATCTGTACTGGGGACTAGGCAAGGCTGGCCTCTTTTCTCACCCACGTATTGTTAAGATTGGTATTTGGACATCAGAAATTTAATTGAGTTTCATTACACACACTGGACAGGACTCAAACTGTTGCACAAATGGCTGTCTTGTCTCCCCAGATGGATGAAGTGCTCTGAGAGCAGAAACTGACTGCATCATCATAGTCCCAGATCTCCAAAATGCTGAGTGTAGTGCTGAGTTCTACAGAAGATACATATTTGCTGAGTTAGAAAGTCATTAGTCACATGTTTAAGGAGCCTGAAAGTTCATATTCTTTGACTCAGTAATTTTACCTCTAGGAATCTGTCCCAAAAGAATCATCAAAAATTGAAAT